CTATACAACATATTACCGGTGCTTGTCCCAGCCTAGTACAAACTGATTACACCCACCGTCATAACCAGGTTGCTAATTACGTTCATCAAAAACTTGCAAATAAACACAATTTAATCCCGAACCAAAAACTACTGCCGTACTATCAGTATACCCCCAAACCTGTTCTGGAGAGCGACAGTCACAGAATGTACTTTGATAGAGCTATTCTTACCGATAAAACAATTCATTACAATAGACCGGATATAACTTTAATTGATAAATTAAATAAAACAGTATATCTAATTGATATAGCGATCCCAAATACCCATAATATACAAAAAACCATTACTTACATAAATACACAGAATTAAAAGAAGAAGTAACTAGAATCTGGAAAATGAACAAAGTATATATTGTACCGCTGGTTCTCTCCAGTACTGGTGTGATCCCGAAATGTTTGTCTCTCTCCGTTAAACGATTAGATCTTCCTGAAAATAGTTATATTACCATGCAAAAAGCAGCCATCCTCAACACGTGCCGTATAGTCCGAAAATTTTTGCAAGAAGACATCTCGGATTTTGATTTCCAAATGGATGCGCACTTGGCTTAGGCCCGTGAACATCTCTTAAAAACCAAGACTTTACAAAATCTTGAGAAAGAAAAAAGAATAATAATAATAATAACAACTTAAGAACTTAAGAACCCTTTCCGAGGCTAAACATACCGATACCTGGGTATGTCACAGAACATCGGTATCGATGAGGCTGGTATGAAACAGTCAGTTTGCGACGTGTTTTATGCACGCTTGACCAATGTGCTTAACAGCCTTTTGTCCGGTGTGAATAAGGCACACGCATATAACGGTTGGGTCATGCCTGTCCTCATGTATACCTTTGGCATACTCAGGTGGACTCAGACTGAACTTAACGCCCTGGATAGAAAAGTCCGCATTACCATGACGTCCCATAGGATGCATCATCCGAGATCGTCGGTAATGAGGCTGTACTTGCCGCGGAAGCATGGTGGTCGTGGCTTCTTGAGCGCGCTCACCATGCATAATCGCGAAGTGTGCAGCCTCCGTAATTACTTCCTGGCGAGATCGGATGATCCATTCTACAAGGACGTCATTTCTTGTGATAAAGGACTTACCCCTCTATCCTTAGCCAACGAGCAATGGCAAGACCCGGCAGTGCAGAGAATTTCCGACCGGGAGACCGTATGGAAGGAGAAGGAGCTCCACGGGAGGTTCTACAAGGCTCTACATGAGCCTTTCGTAGACACAGTAGCCTCCCTCCACTGGCTACGCTTTGGTGATCTCTTCGGGGGAAACCGAGGGTTTTGTCTGTGCAATACAGGATCAGGTTATTAAGACCAACAACTATCGGAGATACATCCTAAAGGATGGCACCGTGGACATCTGTCGAGCTTGTCGCCATCCCGGTGAGTCACTTAGGCATGTCATCTCCGGTTGTTCGGCGCTTTCTAACTCTGAGTACTTGCACAGGCACAACCTAGTAGCCAGAATTCTACACCAGGAGCTCGCTCTGAAATACGGTCTCGTGGATCGGAAATTGCCGTATTACAAGTACTTGCCGGAAGCCGTGCTCGAAAATGATCGCGCCAGGCTCTATTGGGACCGGGCCATCATCACAGACAGGACTATTCTTGCAAATAAGCCTGATATTGTGCTGATGGACCGGGCACAGTCAAGGATATTTTTGGTCGACATTACCATTCCGTATGACGAGAACCTCGTGAAAGCCGAAACAGACAAGCAAACAAAATATCTGGACCTGGCTCACGAGGTGACCGACATGTGGGGTGGTCTGCCGACCGAAATTATTCCTGTAGTCGTCTCTGCAAACGGGCTAATCCCAGTCAGCCTCTCGGGTCATCTGAGGCGGCTGGGACTACGTGGCGGACCGCTCCGGGCTCAAATGCAGAAGGCGGTGCTCCTCGATACCACCCGCATCGTCCGCCGGTTTCTTTCCCTTTCCCCCTAACCCTCGGCCGTTTGGTCTCCCCTGCCGAGGGCCTCCATCTGGTTGGGCTTTTACTTATTTATGTACTTTTATATTTATTTTATGTTATTGATTATCTTTTCATTTTCATTTATAATTATATATTTATAGAACCCAACCAGATGAGAAAACTATATAGATACCCCACAGAAATAATAATAATAATAATAACTTAAGGACCCTTTCTGAGGTTGAAACATACCGATACCTGGGTATATCACAGAACATCGGTATCGATGAGGCTGGTACGAAACAGTCAGTTTGCGACGTGTTTTATGCACGCTTGACCAAAGTGCTTAACAGCCTTTTGTCCGGTGTGAATAAGACACACGCATATAACGGCTGGGTCATGCCTGTTCTCATGTATACCTTTGGCATACTCAGGTGGACTCAATCGTATCTCCACATCCGAGATCGTCGGCTGTACTTGCCACGAAAGCATGGTGCGCGTGACTTTCTGAGCGCGCTCACCATGCATAATCGCGAAGTGTGCAGCCTCCGTGATTACTTCCTGGCGAGATCGGATAATCCATTCTATAATGACGTCATTTCTAGTGATAAAGGGCTTACCCCTCTATCCTTAGCCAACGAGCAAAGGCAGGACCCAGCAGTGCTTAGCATTTCCGACCGGGAAACCGTATGGAAGGAGAAGGAGCTCCACGGGAGGTACTACAGGGCTCTATATGAACCCTTAGTAGATACAGTCGCCTCCCTCAACTGGCTACGTTTCGGTGACCTCTTCGGGGAAACCGAGGGTTTTGTCTATGCAATACAGGATCAGGTTATGAAGACCTACAACTATCGGAGATACATCCTAAAGGATGGCACCATCGACATTTGTAGAGCTTGTCGCCATCCCGGTGAGTCACTTAGGCATGTCATCTCCGGTTGTTCGGCGCTTTCTAACTCTGAGTACTTACACAACCTAGTAGCCAGAATTCTTCACCAGGAGCTCGCTCTGAAATACGGTCTCGTGGATCGGAAATTGCCGTATTACAAGTATTTGCCGGAAGCCGTGCTCGAAAACGACCGCGCCAGGCTCTATTGGGACCGGGCCATCATCACAGATAGGACTATTTTTGCGAATAAGCCTGATATTGTGCTGATGGATAGGGCACAGTCAAGGATATTTTTGGTCGACATTACCATTCCGTATGACGAGAACCTCGTGAAAGCCACATCAAAATATCTAACCTCTCACGAGACGACATGTGTGGTCTGCCGACCGAAATTATTCCTGTAGTCGTGTCTGCAAACGGGTTAATCCCAGCCAGCCTCTCGGATCATATGACGCGACTGGGACTCCGTGACGGACCGCTCCGGGCTCAAATGCAGAAGGCGGTGCTCCTCGATACCGCCCGCATCGTCCGCCGGTTTCTTTCCCTTTCCCCCTAACCCTCGGCCGTTTGGTCTCCCCTGCCGAGGGCTTCCATCTGGTTGGGCTTTTATTTATTTATGTACTTTTATATTTATTTTATGTTATTGATTATCTTTTCATTTTCACTTATAATTATATATTTATAGAACCCAACCAGATGAGAAAACTATATAGATACTCCAAATAATAATAATAATAATAAATAGGCGTAGGGAAGTGACGACCCCATCACCCGCTGACGTAACGGTTACTTGACAAAACCACTACGTGAGCGCAGTCAGTCAGCACCTTGCCAAGAGGTGTTAGTGCCGTGCCTCGGCATAAGTTGAAAGTGCAAAGGCCCGCTTGTGCACATGGACTCACGATGAAACGGCGCCGAGTCTGGGCGTCTCCCGTTGAATGACGCCCATTAAAATGGATGATGGAATTTAATAGAACGCCCAAAAGGCCGCTGCCTGGGGGTAGCCGGGGCGCGTCTGGAGCTGGCACTGGACGTGACAGCATGCCAACCGCCAGCCGAGCGCGAGGTGCTGCTCGACCACCTAGTAGCCCCTCGCATCCATCATCCCCACCAGCAGGCTTGGTGTCGGCAGGGTCTTCGCGGGCCGAGCAATCGGCACCCGCCACTGGTGGAATACGCCGCATGCGTTGGGCAATCTCAATGAATAGCAACGCATTGCGGGCGTATTATAGGGCGATAGGGGGATAAATTGGAGGTTTTGCGTATCGGGCAAGGACGCATCGACTTTTTGCTGAGCTGGAGCCATCTGTAACCGTCATCGAGCAAAACCTGGCAGACCGCGTTCGGTATATCTTGCGCTAAAATATATTTGATGACGCCGAACTCGAACGGCTACGACGTGAGGCTGTTCCCTCATCAAATGAAAATGCTACGGCTGAGGATACGGTGCCACAAGTTGCAGAACAACACGCACGCGTGGATACCGCCGTGAATACCTCAGTGGTGGCTGATTCAAATGATGATGGAACATTCGCCCAGGAACTAGAAATAGAGCAAATGAGGAGTACATTGGAAGAGGCGATTATGGAAACGCGCAGTACGCCTTTCGAAAATCGACCGCGACTTCGCCGCATAGCCCTAAGCAAGCGGAATCGGGCTGTCGTGAGGGCTCTGAAACCAATGCTGGTGACCTATTTGGCAGCCAGCCGGGACCTTTGCGATACGGACTCAATTCTATTTGGCGCCGCGCTGGCAGTCTGCCGTATCATAGGCGCCAAGGTTTCCACGGCTGGACGCACTACTAGGCAAAGTAGTGCTATCCCTGCACGGAGAAAAAGAATTGAGGAGCGTATCGAAAGGCTAGAGCTCTCATCGGCAGACTGATATGCTTCAGATCAGGCAATAACAGGCCAAGAATTGTGCACACCATCAGGATGGCATTTGCTGATGCCAAACTGACATTTGTCCCAGCCGGATATAATGCAAAAACTGACGGAGTGCATAGATGATCTGAAGCAGAGAATCGCGGCTTGGGGAAAGCGGATTCGGCGATATACGTGATCAGAAGAGGCTCTATGAATCATTGGAGCGACCAATGGCAAGTGGAACGGGCTCAGCACCGAATCAGGCCGACACTTTAACATTCTGGCGCGGCCTGTGATCAGAGCCCGTAAACCACAGCGAGGGCTCTTGGACGGAAGTTGTGGCGAGTCATTGAGCGAGTATAACGCCCATGGACCCACCAGCCCGCAGCAGATGACCCGTCATTATAACGCTGGATGACGTAGCCGAGGCGGTCCGTAGGGCCCCGAACTGGAAAAGTCCGGGACTCGACGGGCTGCATTACTACTGGCTGAAGGGGTTTGTGGTGTATCACACTGTGCTCGCCCGACAGTTCCAAGAGGCTCTCAAACAGAAGTCGCTCCCGAGCCTCTTCACTACTGGCGTCACTCATTTGGATCCTAAAGACCAAGATACCACAGACCCGAGCAAATACCGCCCCATCACGTGTCTACCGACCATATACAAGACACTAACATCCATTTTGAGCGCGAGAATCAATCGTCACCTGGACTCAAATCAGGTGATGTCGCGCGCTCAAAATGGATGTCGAGGCGGTGGTCGTGGAACCAAGGAACCACTTCTCATTGACGCGGTCATTGGCAACGTGGTGAAACGCAACCGTCGGAACTTCTCCGCCGCCTGGATAGACTACAGAAAGGCATTCGATTCGGTGCCCCATACATGGCTAAAGAGAGTCCTCAAGCTGTACAAGATAGACTGTACAGTTCGAGACTTCCTCGAGCAACGTATGGGGCAGTGGAGTACGATCCTTTGTCATCTGGGCGAGCGGATGATGGCTGCGGAATGCCACATAAGGATAAGAAGGGGTATCGTCCAGGGCGATTGTCTGAGTCCAATCTGTTTCTGCCTCTCTTTGAACCCTCTCAGTACTTTACTGGAGGGCTCCGGGAGGGGTTTTCAGCTTCGGAAAGGAGGGACAAAAGTGACCCACCTTTTCTATATGGATGACCTCAAGTTATTCGCCTCCAGTCGCTCCCATCTTATGGAATTGCTAAAAATCACTTGTGAATTTAGCAATTCCATTGGAATGGAGCTGGGGACGGATAAGTGTGCGGTCCTCCATGTTGAAAGGGGAAGGGTTGCTAACTCTGAGGGCATGGATTTATCTATGCCCGTCAACCTAAGGACCCTTTCCGAGGCTGAAACATACCGATACCTGGGTATGTCACAGAACATCGGTGTCGATGAGGCTGGTATGAAACAGTCAGTTTGCGACGTGTTTTATGCACGCTTGACCAAATTGCTTAATAGCCTTTTGTCCGGTGTAAATAAGACACACGCGTATAACGGTTGGGTCATGCCTGTCCTTATGTATACGTTTGGCATACTCAGGTGGACTCAGATTGAACTTAACGCCCTGGATAGAAAAGTCCGCACTGCCATGACGTCCCATAAGATGCATCATCCGAGATCGTCGGTAATGAGGCTGTACTTGCCGCGAAAGCATGGTGGGCGTGGCTTTCTGAGCGCGCTCACCATTCATAATTGTGAAGTGTGCAGCCTCCGTAATTACTTCCCGGCGAGATCGGATGATCCATTCTATAATGACGCCATTTCTAGTGATAAAGGGCTTACCCCTCTATCCTTAGCCAACGAGCAATGGCAAGACCCAGCAGTGCTTAGCATTTCCGACCGGGAGACCGTATGGAAAGAGAAGGAGCTCTACGGGAGGTCCTACAGGGCTCTACATGAGCCCTTCGTAAATACAGTCGCCTCCCTCAACTGGCTACGTTTCGGTGACCTCTTCGGGGAAACCGAGGGTTTCGTCTGTGCAATACAGGATCAGGTTATTAAGACCAACAACTATCGGAGATACATCCTAAAGGATGGCACCGTCGACGTCTGTCGAGCTTGTCGCCATCCCGGGGAGTCACTTAGGCATGTCATCTCCGGTTGTTCGGCGCTTTCTAACTCTAAGTACTTGCACAGGCACAACCTAGTAGCCAGAATTTTACACCAGGAGCTCGCTCTGAAATACGGTGTCGTGGACCGGAAATTGCCGTATTACAAGTACTTGCCGGAAGCCGTGCTCGAAAATGACCGCGCCAGGCTCTACTGGGACGGGGCCATCATCACAGACAGGACTATTCTTACGAATAAGCCTGATGTTGTGCTGATGGACCGGGCACAGTCAAGGATATTTTTGATCGACATTACCATTCCGTATGACGAGAACCTCGTGAAAGCCGAAACAGATAAACGCACAAAATATCTGGACCTGGCTCACGAGATAACCGACATGTGGGGTGGTCTGCCGGCTGAAATTATTCCTGTAGTCGTCTCTGCGAGTGGGCTAATCCCAGTCAGCCTCTCGGGTCATCTGAGGCGACTGGGACTCCGTGACGGACCGCTCCGAGCTCAAATGCAAGTGGCGATACCGCCTGCATCGTCCGCCAGTTTCTTTCCCTTTCCCCCTAACCCTCGGCCGTTTAGTCTCCCCTGCCGTGGGCTCCCATCTGATTGGATCTTATTTATTTATGTAGTTTTTGTATTTTTTTGATTTTATTGATATATATGTATATTTCTCTTTTCATTTTAATTTATAATTATATATTTATAGAACCCAACCAGGTGAGAAAATTATATAGATACCCCAATAAATAATAATAATAATAATAAGCCCCCTAAACAACCACACCTCCTGATTGACCATCGAATCACGTGGGGGGCGGACACACGATTGAAAAATTACTGGCGTGGCTAACGTGGCCCTAGAAACCCATTATACATGGAGACTCGATCAAAAAGAAAATGTTTAGGACCGCTGCCCGGGGGCGATCGCCGGGGCACCCCTGGAGCTGGCGCTGGGTGTCTCAGCATGCGAACCGTCAGCGGTGAGGAGTTGAACAGAGTTGGCAGGGCCTCACCGACAAAGATGCTACAGCCGAAACCAGTGACGGTTGTGACAGACTAACTGACTGAACAGACAGGCCTTTAGAACCAATCAGCTCAAGAACCATTTCATACACACCTTCCAGACCATCATCACCACCGATACCATCGTCACTTTCCATATCTTTATCACCCCCTATTACTAGTTCTCATACAGATTCATCCTTGCCAACCTTGAATGTTGCGCGGGGGGTAAATACCTTCTTGCCCGCGTCCATCAAGGCTGGGAAACCAAGAGTTCACATGAGATGGAGTAAAGAAATAAACATATTTATCATGCGAACCTACTTCCACATCACTAAATTAGAGACCGACATGACCACATACAGACAGCAATTGCATGAACGTTTTACAAGACATAACCCAGAAATTAGTGTAACAAAACAACAATTTCCGATCAAAGAAGAAGAATAGTAAGGAATAAACTTTTATCTCAAGAAGTAATAGATCAACTAAAAGAAGAAGTACGTGCACAGTTAGATGATTTAAATCAAAATCCTATCCCAGAAACACATACACCATCAGAAACTACTCTACAAATACCACCACAATCACCCTCTCAAATGCAACATAACAAACAATCTCAATCTTACAATCAATCACAAGCAAACTCACAAAGTATACATAGATCGCACACATCCAAACAAACCGAGAGCATAACCATAATGCTAGAAAATGATATTGAGACTTTAGAAAATGTCGATCAAAATCTGTTATCAGAAACGCACATCCAAGAAATACACGACAAACTGAAAATCGCTCTAACTCAATATTCAGGTATGGATCCAGCAGCTCGTCCAAAACTACCCAAACTTAAATACACCCCAAAACTCCATCTATTTTTATTTAATAGTATCATACTAAACCAATATATATCCGAAGATACGCAACTTGTAGATGTACACACATTGATATATTGCACAGCTTTAATCATTTCTGAAGAACTTAATTATAAAATAACAGAATACGCATACAGAACAAGACCAAGAACTATAAACAAACCATCATGGCAATAGAGACTCGAAAGAGATATAGAAAAATTACGAGCTGACTGTGGTAGACTAACACAATATATCAACAATAACAGATCTAACAAAGTAGTCAAAAGAGTCGAGGCAATATTTAAGAACAGGCACGCGAGACATGAAAACGACAATAGAAAACCTGAAGAATTCTTAGACACTTTAAAACAGAAGCTCGCGCTAAAAGTCCATAGGCTGAGGAGATACAAGAAGGCACAAGAACGCAAAAATGATAACGCCATGTTTGCTACTAACGTAAAAACTTTTACAGAAATTTACAGAAACCAAAAATAGACGTAACAACCGACACCAACACCGAACTACCAACATCAGAACAATTGGAGACATAATAATAGAAAGAACCACACGCACCACACTTACCAAACACAATAATTTGTACCCTAAATCCGCAATAGAAAGACTCACAATCAAACGACAAAATGGAGGGAGAGGCCTAATAGACATTCAACACCTTTGGCAGAAACAAATTAGCAGCCTCAAAACATTCTTTCACAATAAATCTCGAACTAGTGGCATTCATAAAGCTGTAGCGCTAAATAATTTTAACTACACTCCACTTAACCTAAATGAACACACAGATATAGAACACAATAACACCAAAAACCCACAAAAACAAAAGTTAGAGGACTGGAAAAAGAAAGTCCTGCACGGACGACACCCACATGATCTGGAATAACCACATGTAGATACAGTAGCATCAAATAAATGGCTTAAAATTGGCAACCTGTTCCCGCAAAATGAAGTGTTTATCATCGCAATACAAGACCAGATCATAACACTAAGAACTACAGGAAATATGTCATTAAAGACCCCACAGTAACCAACGATAAATGCCGCAAGTGCTTCACCCAACCAGAGACAATACAACATATAACAGGAGCATGTATAACTCTTACACATACAGACTACACTCAAAGACACAACCAAGTAGCAAACATCATTCATCAAAAACTAGCACTCAAACATAAGCTTATACAAGACAAAAACACGCCCTATCACAAATACACTCCACAAACTATTTTAGAAAATCCTACACACAAACTTTACTACGACCGCGCCATACTTACCAACCGAGCCATTCACTATAATAGACCAGACATAACACTACAGAACAAAGTAAGTAAAATCACCTACCTAATAGATATTGCAATACCCACACACATAACTTACAAAAAACAATAGGTGAGAAGATAAGCAAATATTATGCAGAGCTTAAAGAAGAAGTGACCAGAATTTGGAGACAAAATAAAGTTTATATAGTACCCATAGTCGTCTCCACCACTGGTGTCATACCCAACCATCTCCACCATAGCCTTAAATTAATAGACCTGAAAAACTCAACGTACATTATACTCCAAAAAGCCGCAATTTTAAATACCTGTCGAATTGTAAGAAAATTCATGCAATTGAAAGAAAATGAAATAGCTACCCATAA